AGATGAAGCTGGAGTTACCGGGGTGAGGGGGTGAGCCACCCAATGTGGGTACTGGGAACCAAGAATGGGATATTCTCTTAACCATTAAATCATCTCTCAATGATTTTTAAACTTGGAGAAAAAAGTTGAAAAATTAGTACAAAGAACTCTCATATACCCTTTGCTCAAGATTCATTTTAGCATTTCTGTGTAAACTCTTCACAATTTTTGTAATGTGCTTCTAGACAAAAGAGCCGACATACAGCTATATGGTTGGAGGAGCTGTCGCATGTCTGCAGCCTTCGCTCCCACCAGAGCCCTTCTCGGGCCTCCCCTCAACATTGATATTGTCCCTTCATAAGATCGTAGACCAGCCATCTTGAGAAATAACTTCCTATTGGTTTGTGCAATGTTTCTTCCTGATTCAGAAGGTCTCTTTAAGTTCCTAGTTAGGAAGGATCAGCTTGGTCCCTTTCTGTTAAAATAACACAGAAGCAGTGATGGGTTCTACGTCTCCTCAGACAGCTCAGGATGTGGTCTGTTCCCTCACATATGAGATTTGCTCTGGTCACTTGTGAACCTTCTTCTCTATGAAGTCACTTACTTCACTGTCACAAGTAAACTGACGTCTGTATCGTCTTTGCATCTCCCTATGAGACAGTGAGAATGTCCTTATTTCTTGGTATAAGATTTTCCTGGGCTACTCTTATTGTGTAGGACTGCATCCGTTTTTTTAGTGAAGAATGGTCAGAAACAAAGGTATAGAGGACTGTGTGCTGCTGTTACTGTGTGCCACAGCTCCCGGGCCGTCTCAGCACATCCAAGGAGAAAATGCACAGAGACACAGGCATCCATCTAACACTACAATCATTTCTATAGACTGAAAACCAGGAGCCCCACATATGTGCTTCCTCAGTGCCACCTCAGGGTTCATGGTAGCCCTCACTTCTGCATATTGGTTTGTTCATTTTTAAGACAAGATTTCTCTATGTCGCTCTGGCTGGCCTGGAACTAGCTATGTAGATCTGGCTGGCTTCGAACTCACAGATATCTGCCTGTCTCTGCCTCCTGAGTGTTAGGATTTGAGGTGTGCACCACTTGAGTGAGGAGACTGATTCCTTGATATTATTGATGATTTCCCAATGGGGCTGATCTACTGATCTCCACAGGAGGCCTGGTTGAAAGCCTTCCTCCTCCTAAATCCCTAATCCTTCTTTGTGGTGGCATAACCAAGGGCTTTTAGGTATTCCGTTTATCTTGCCACATTCCCAGATATTTAGGCCTAAAATGTAGATAATCAGCTTTTTGTAATTGTGATTCTGCATCCATGGATTCAAAAAATACTCAGGAAAAGAAATACACCTCTACTGATCTTATACAGACTTTTTCCTTATTCCCAAATAACACAATCACTGGCACAGCGCTTACATTATAATAGATATTGAAAGTAATCTGAGGCCAGGAGGATGGCTCAGTGGGTAAAGGTTTAATCACTACCAAACATGATGACCTGAGTTTGACCCCCCTGACCCCACATAGTGGACAGAGAGAACCAACTTTCAAAAGTTGAAGCTGACCTCCATACATGCACTGTTTGATATGTATGGTCACACACACACACACACACACACACACAGCGGGGGGGGGGGTAAATTTTTAAGAAGTGAGCTAGAGATGATTTAAAGTATACAGAGCTCTGTGCATAGCTTATATGCAAATATCATGCCGTCATATACAAAATACTTGAGCACCACAGATTTGAGTACTTGTGGATGGTAGGGCCGGTATTCCTGGAACTATTCCCTGTGGGACAACTGTATGTATGCTTTAGTTAATTTTTAATGGTCAATAAAGGACATTTTCTTCTTGCTCTAAATATTAAAAGTAGACCATCAAGTCAGGAGTGCTGGTGCACACCTGTGATCACAGTACTGAGAAAGGCAGGCTCCGGTTCTGAGGCAAGCCTGGGACACAGAGAAACTATGCTGTGTAACCATCAACCTGACACGACCTAAAATCAGTTTAAGAAGGAATTATTTGGCTAGGATTGGCCTGTGGGAGGTTGTCTTGATTGTTAATTGACCATACCCACTGTGGGCAACACCATTCCCTTGGCTAGGCCTGATGAACGCTAGCAGAGCAAACACTAAAGGAGCATGTGTTTATTCTCTGCTCTTGCCTATGGATATGCTATTTTAAGTTCCTGCCTTGATTTTCCCCCAAATAATGGGCTATAACCTGGAAAGTTAAGCCAGTAACTCCCCTTCTCCTCTATGTTGCTTTTGGTTAGGGCATTTTATTGCAGTGACAGAAATGAAGCTAGAACAGAGAAGCTACATCAGGTTTATTAATCAATTAAAATAAGTGATCAACAGTGTTAGAAGGCCATTTACAAAGCAGTAACTAATTGGAGCCTCTGGAAGTCCTGCATCCAATCAACCTATTCAGATACTACTTATGGCTTTTGATGATCTCTTCCACGAGATCCTTTCTCCTCTAGGACCTAGAGCTGGTGCCAATGTGATTGTTGAATGACTCTGACTCATTCACATGTACAGATTCTGCCAGTCTGTTCTTGCTCTTCACTCTTTCACCTTTTTCACATAGTCATTCATCCAACATTTGTTGACAGCCTGTGTGTAAGGGCCGCCCGTATACATGGGCGTCTCCCCTCCTGCCCTTTCCCGGCCCAAGCTGCATCTCTGGTGTTCCATAGTCTTGCCTCTGTCTCTTGCTTAGCTGGTTTAGATGATTAGATTATGTAAAAGGAAAACCCAGGTTGAGTGTGAAGGAAGTGGGCCCTTGTGAGCCAGCTAGACACTGTAGAGCAGAGAGAGGGAGACTAAAACAGCCACTTTCTCTTCCCCTTGGTTGTCAGAAGAGCTGGGTGTGTATGAGCTTGCCTGCCTCCACTTTGGTTTCTGGTGATCTTCTACAGAGGTGGGAGGGAGGATAATGGAAGAATACATCCCACACATACTCCAGATTGCTGAGCGCAGCTCTGGGTTTCCATATTCCGCTCTTCTCCTTCCCTGGGAAAAGGGCCCTGATGGGGGCAAAGAGCTCTTGTGCAGAACTTGCTTTGCCCTTGTTCCCAGGAACACGGAGGGGTTGTGGTGTTTTCTCTGTGGATCATCTGTCCTCAGCCTAGGGAGGACAGATGCCTGAGGAGGGAGGGGCAGGAGAGCAGCTGCGTCTCACCTTGGCAGCTGTGGTATTATCTGGGCCTAACGGTTTCTTCTGGGTAGATACTTCCGCCCTCCTTCTTGCAGAGCCGGAAAGATTCATGCTGCTGTCTTTGAGCAGAAAGGAGCAACCAGCTCTAAGAAAAAGGGGGCAAGTCAGCCTGACCTGAAGGCACACACTTGTCATCCCAGTATCAGGGGGGTCAGGGCCAGGGGATCAGAAACTCAAGATCAGCAAGGCATTCTTTTCTTGCTTCCATCCTCTCTGTTCTAGAATCTGTTTGCAGCTGTGTAGATAAAATAAGAGAACTCTTCCTTGGGAACCCAGAATCCCTGACTCTTAAATAAAAGGACTATGGGGTGCTTATCCATCTGAAGTATGTAATGAGACTATATGCTTTTTAAATAGCTGCTCTTTCCAAGTATCTACCACGTCGAGAAGATGCAGAAAATGATGATCAGATAAGAGGCTTTTCTAAAGGAACACATCTAGAAAGCATCGGACTAGAATCTCACCCTCTGTCTGCTTCTGAAGGCAGAGGTCTTGCCCCTATACTCTGCTGAGTTCAGTGAACAGAGGCTGCCCTGACACCATGTTTTACAAAGTAAGGTATAGAAGTTCCCCGTGACTTCAAGATCCACAGACCAACTGTGATGAGAAGCAGTCAGGACAGCCTTCGCAGCGTGGCTGAGTTCTCTGCCGTTTTCCGGTAGTGGTTTCTTTGGGGCTCTTTGCACAGGGGCAGCACCAACATGCCCTGTGCTATGATCCACCACTGTGTTGGCGCTCTCTCTCCCTTGTATAGCAGGTCCAGGTTTGAAGTACAAAGTCAAGGGATGCTGTAAGAAGACACAAAGGCATCCTTGTCAGCCAATTCCTTGAAGGCGTTTTCCCTAAGAAATGGGACCCTGCAGGGGCACCCAGAGCTATATAACCCAGTAGCAGACAATGGCTTCGGCACAGATTCAAGTCCCTACATCCCTCCCACGCAGCCCTTTTGCTGTCCTGAGGGCTGTAGAAACCGACATTCCCTAGGGAGAGTTACTAAGCTGGGCCTTATGTGAATCGGATGTTTAGGACTGTGCCCTTTGCTATATTTAATAGGAATGGAAAAAAGGTCGTTTAGAAAGCAGCATGTAGGAGCAGATATTCCCACAAGCCTCCATGCTGCATACATCAGAGCAGATGAGAAGAGAAGCTGGCTGCGAGCGGCAGGAAACTTGGGAAACTTTGCTTGGATTCCTCCCCCTCTTCATACACAAATAGATCTATTTGTCCATCTATTGATGGACAGACTGATAATTGTTTCCTGTAGATGGAATCTTGGAAGGTGGACAGGAAAAGAGATATCAAAGCAAAGGTGGTCCTATTAGGCTACTGAATACAGGAAGGCCAGGTATGAGGTTACGTTAATACTGGAAAGGATGTGGAGGGGGAGAGAAGGAGGAGGAACGGAGGCTGGGGAAAAAATGGCAAAGAGGAAAAGAATGAAAAGGCAATTATAATCTGCGGGACAAGGAAAGTAAAGAAGGCAGGCTGAAAGAGGGAGAGGTGGTCTGAAAACGCGCAAACCCCAGGGTCCTGAGAAACTTCGCGAGAAAGGGGGCGCGGCGCTGCCCAGCCCATGTTTGGGCAGATTAATGGAGTCGTGGCTCGGGCTCTTGAGTCCTGCCTTGGGAGGGACAGTATCTGTTTAGATTTGTGTCTAAATTTAAACCCCGATCCGGCCTCCCTCCCTGCTCCCCTCCCCTCCCCTCCCCTTCTCCTGCATCCCTCGGTCCCTCCCTCCTCCTCCTCCTTCCTCGTTCTCTGGCGCAGGGCCCCCAGCTGGGGCAGTCCCGCAGCCGAGTGCAGCCAGGCGCGCGCCGCCGCCCACTCGCTCTGTGCCCGCTACAGCCCGAAAGTGACCCGGGCTGGGAGCTGAGGGGACAACGGGGATCGTGAGTTCTTAACCCGGGCGAGCGGGCGTGTCCACAGCCGAAGGACTACCTGGAGGACATGGAGGTAAAAGACTGGCGGGGACGCGCGGGCCTGGGGCTTGGGGAGAGTGAGGTCAGAGCGCTCCTGCCCAGGTCGCTGTCCCTGCTCTCAGCAGCATGTAGTCAGACCGTCGCCAGAGCCAAGTGGAGAGAGACTGGTCCCTGCTCCTAGGAGACCCCTGCGGACCGGAAAGGACCTCAAGGCAAAGGAGGGGGCCCTTTGTAGGGATTCAGGTGTTCTGACTGCACTTACATGGTTTTTTTTTAGAAAATAAAACTTAGGTATAACTAAAGTCATAAACGGATAAAGGTGTGAGCCAACAACCCCAAAACAAAAAACTCCAGCAACCCTGACTCAGGCATTGAGAAACAGAGCTGGCAGTTGAGGCCGGGACTCTGGCCGCATGGCTTCCCCTTTTGATTGCAGCGTGGCTTTTCTGACCAGTTGTTCTCTTACTTCTGATGTCCCTTGTGTCTGTCACATCTTCTTTCATAACTTTCTGAAAAGCTCCCTTGCCACCGGTCAAAAAAACATATTTCTGAGAAATTGGAGACTCTTCAAGATGCCCTGCCTCCTGAGGTGGTGTGCACCTTGGGATGTGGGTAGCCATATCTGAGAGGTAGACAGGGGTGAGTCCCAGACTTTATCTGCACTTTTCCAACGTCAGAATCCTGGCCACCGCTTTCCAGCCAGGGAGTACGAGGTCACCTAGCTCCCTCTTCCAGGTCTACAGATATCCAATGTTTCCCTTCCAACCCAGACCAGCTGCAGGTGAGCTCAGAGGCACGCCATGGCCAAGCCCCCAGGTTCAGCCCCCCCGCGAGAGAGAGAGAGAGAGAGAGAGAGAGAGAGAGAGAGAGAGAGAGAGAGAGAGAGAGAGAGAGAGGAAACTGTGACGGTTTATCCTAATCAATCTCAGCAGGACCTGGGATTTTCAAAGAGGAAAAAGGAGGTGAAAAACCCCTGGCCTTTAAGGTGATTCCTACTCCCACTCAAAAGGAAACCGCTCCTTCTTAGCCCAAGGTCTGGGGAGATCCCAGCCCACAGAAGTTCAGTCCCTTCCAGGCCTGAGTCCACTCACCTTTTCTAAGCTTCCCTGTCTGCCTGCCCTAAAAGAACAGCAAGGCTGTGTATTCAGCTCAACCAGTTGTCATAAAGTAACAAGGATTGCTCTCTGCGTACTGGGCACTTGGGGAGCGCTGAGTACCTGGGATGCTGGTGTCTGAGATGGACTTTCTGTAGCGACATTTGCAAGTCGGGAAGTAGTTGATTAGAGTAGAAAGACCACAAAGCATTCCAGATAGGTCCTTACATATGGTCAAGACCTTGCAAAGACAAAGCAATAGGAGTCTCTGTGCAGGCTACGGGACAGAGAAGGGAAACGGACAAGGGAATAGTCAAGTTGCTGGACCAAGCAAAGGCTCATAAAGAAACTGCTGTACTTATAAGCTCCCTCCTCAGGAGGAGCTCAGGATACCCCTGGTGACAAGCTGGAAGCTATGGGGTCACTAACAGGACTGTAACGGGCATAAGATGGAAGCCCAACTGGACTTAAGCGGGGCGCTGCTTGAAGGCTCCGATGCAAGTTCTAACTTTAATCTAGGGAAACACAGAAGGGCTCCTGTCACAGGGCCACTTCTTCCTCCCTCAGATGAAGAAGAAACAGAGGGAGTCCAAGGCCCTGAAAAGTATCAGCCCAGCAACTTCCTGTGTGGCTTGGTAGGTGGGAGGCATGAAAAGAAAAGACTCTCCTGTCTACAAGCTGATATATGCAGTAACGGAAAAGGACCTGGATAGAGATAGCCATATTCCTGTGTGCCAAAGGCTTGACCAGCACAGGGAGATTACCTAGTCAACCAGAATGCCAGACAGATCTGCTTGCACCCATTCATCCTAAGGTGTGCCGTGGCCTCGCTGGCTGGCAGTGACTGTTTTTGAAGTTTGAGAACCAGTCATGAAAGCCTAAACAAACAAGCAAAACACCACAGCAGCTAACAGCTGAGCTGTTAAAGGAAGTAAAGAGGAAACAGAAGACAAGGGAGGTGACACTTCTCATCTAGGAAGTGAAAGTCAGTGACAAGGTGTATTACCTGCTTATGGGTGGAGCTAGGAGCCCTGAAATCAGCCTCCTGAAGGAGGCTACTTGTTTTATTTGAGAAGAAACTGAGTCACGTCATGTCCCCACAGTGAGCACTCAACCCAGACCAACAGGGTTTGTTAGCCACGTTCAGTTTCTATCGCACACTTGCTTACCTTGCCTACCGCAAATGTTAGGGAAGTCTTCAAATCCCTGGGACTACTGTCAGCCACATCAGTCATACCTCAGCCTATAGGGACCTCCCTGGAATAAACAAAGCTAGGTGGCACTTGACCTGTGCCTTTCTAACACTCCCAATCCAGTCGAGGAAACAGGGACTCACACATCCTGTCACTGTGTGCTTAATGAATGCTTCTGCAAGCGTGACAGTACAGGCCCGAGCAGAGGCTGCTCAGAAGCCTTGAGCGAAAGGCAGTGAGTGGGTAGAGAAACACAGGGAGACCACACCGGCTTCATTCAGGGAGGCAGGATGGTTGGTGAGAGGTGAAGATAGGGGGGTCCTTAAAAGAAGAAAAGTGGCAATAACAAGATAAAGCCATGGAAGCAATGAGGTCCTCCCTAGAGGCGACCACAGGAGGGGGGGGGGCGTCTAAGCCACCTAGAAGGTGTTACCTTTTCTCATTCCTTAGCTGTGCTCCCAACTCCTACCTTCTTCTAACTCGCCATTTTCAGACCTTGAAGGCAGCTCATGAATGGCCCTGGATTCTGCCCCACAGACAGTAGGAAACTGAGACAGTCCTGCTTGAGGTGGCAGCCACGATGCTGCCCATTGCATGTACAAGGTTCTCATTCTAGGGAGCCCCTCTGAGGCCCTGGATGGGGTGTAGTCTGACTCCAAGAGGAGGACAGAGAGTAAAGACCTTCGATAGAGGGGAATCGGAAACGTCTGCATTTAAGTTCACAGGGTGCCCAGAGGAGAGGACATGCCCTTGCATAGCCGGTGTGAGACCCTGGGTTTGATCCCTAGTAGAGGAACAGAAGGAGCAGGGGAGGGGAAGAAGAGAGAGTATATGTATCTCAGTGTAGGCGGGTTGTCTTACTGGTGGGTGGGTCTCCATAAACCAATACAGTGTCTATCACAGAAACCCAAACTTCCCAATAAAATTTGCCTAATAAATTAATAGAAACTCTGTAGCTCAAATGTTGCCACCTTCCCAGTGGCCCTTGGCCTTTACAGAGCACTTAACTAGTCCCACCAGGCTCCCAGTGAGGAGGAGGACCGCTCTTTACATATCTAGGTCCTCATGACCACCAGTTAAGACATACTGATTGGGTGATTGTGATATTGGAGATGAGAGACATTAGGCTTTTAAGAGAGAGATAAGGAGAAAAAGAAAAGAAAAAGCAAGCTTTAGTACGTTTATTTGCTGGTTTGTTCTGGACAGTATTTCAGCACTGTGAGACAGGCAGACCTCTTTGGCTACAAAATCATTGTCTCTAGAGACAATAATGGTGAAGTTATTGTAGACAGGAACCCAGGGAAAACTCCCTTCTGGCCTTTGAGGGCACTTGCATGAATGTGTGCATACACATAAGTAACGTTTTCCAAAAAAGCGATCTGAGAGTGGTGGCGCACGTCTTTAACCCCAGCACTGGAGAGGTAGATGCAGCAACGTTGGCCTTGTCTACAGCACCAGTTCCAGGCCAGCCAGGGCTACACAGTGAGACAAACCCTCTCTCAAAGGGGTGGGCGTGTGTGATCAAGCTGGGTGTATTAGCCCACCTTTTAATTTCAACACATTGGAGCTGGCAGCTGCAGAGCCAAGTTAAAGATTATTCTTCAACTACATACTCAGTTCCGGGCCAGCCGGTGCTTCGTGAGTCCTTTTCTGAAGAACACACACACACACACACACACACACACACACGAAATGAAACTATCTGTTCATCTTCGTATGAATGTATTGTGTATGTATGAATATATATACCCATATATGCATTCATTTGGAAACATATCTTTTTTAAAAAGATTTTATTTATTTATTTTATGTGTATGAGTACTTTATCTGCATATACACCTGCATGTCTGAGAAGGTATCAGATCCCACTATAGATGGTTAGGAGCCACCATGTGGTTGCTGGGAATTGAACTCAGAACCTCTGGAAGAGCAGCCAGTGCTCTTAACCACAGAGCCATCTCTCCAGCCCTGTAACCCGTGTCTTAGGTTCATGTAGTTTTTACTTTGTTGAACATTTGCTAGTTTATTTTTAAAAACATTTTAACAGATTAAATGTTTGCTTTATTAATAATTATTATTTATTGCGTATGTGTATAAATATGGGGTTTCCCATGCTACACTGTGGGTGTGGAGATCTGAGGACAATTTTCAGTAGTCAGTTTTCTCCTTCACCATGGGAATCCCTGGGTGAACCCAGATTTTCTTGCTCACCTAGCAAGTATGTTTACCCATCGGAGTATCTACCCTGCCCATCTACTTTATTTTTATCTCATTTATTTGTTAGAAGGGAAAACTCCAAGTTTAGGGAAGAAGGATTATTTGGGGATGTCCCTGTGATCCCCGCTGGTTTTCCCCATCCTGTCACCGAGCTGTGGTGTGCTGGTTGAGGCTGGTGGTCATAATGGGGACCAATCCGCCTCTGAAGGAGTTAGACTGGATGGACTTGCAGGCAAGCCAGGATATCCACTCCCCTCGGCTCTGGCTGGGTGGAGACCCTTGGAGTCACTCTGGCTCCCCTTAGCAGACATCTTTCATTTGCTGGTCTGTGAGAACAGGAGTAGTTTCGGGTAGGCACGCTGTCAAGACCCTGCCCTATCACCGTGGGGTGAAGGCATTCCTGGAGCGGAATCGGGTTTCAGAGCCTGATCCTCAGCAGGCTGCCCACAGCAAGGAGGGCTGGAGCCTGGCTCCTGCGGTTCCGTGGGAAATCTGAACGCTGGCGGCTCAGCAGCGCGGTAATCTTATCA